TTTAGGGACTAAAGTGTATATAAAGTAAACTTTAATAATATTTAGATTAAAATATAAATATTGACGGGACGATGATAAGTATACGGATATTGGGCTCGTTGGATAGATAATAATTAAAGACGCATTTTAGACTCGAGAAAAAATTAATTTGGGTTAGTAAAGCCTAAGTTATCGAAGCCGGAAGATATAACATTAAAATATTATTTTTATTACTTTTATTGTTGAAGGATTCACGTGGAGAGAGAAAGATGAAAGTTGTGGAGATATTTTATTTTTTTATTATAATTTATGGTTTTGAATTGTTATGGCAGGCACGTGATTTGTTAGAAAATATTGTATTTGATATTATTCCAAATTCAAAACCTTATCCAACTTTTTGTACAATCATTATTATCCTATTCCTTGTGTAGCACGATTTCCACTTCTAGTTGCATAGGGATTCTTTTATTTTTTTATTTCAAATACTCAGCAAAAGTCAGACTTCAGCCCACTTTTATTTCCAAAGCACAAAGAAGAAAAAGAAATATGTTTCTGGCAGCAGTAATCGAAAGCCAAAGTTTTGGAAAGAGATTTTGGATTTTTGCCTTTCATTATTTAAGTTATCTAACAAGGTAGGATTACGAGGTGCAAGTGGGTTGTCCCATTTAAATTATTTCTTCATGTTTGATAAATATTATACTTATGAAAGTTATGATATGTGTAATGTGATTATGATATATATGTTATGGCCATCCGGTACCAAAGATATGATATGATATGAGCTCTTACTGGTTCTAAAGATATGATATGACGGTATGATATTTTGACGCGTGATTTAATATTTTTTAATTGGGGTTGCACAATTTCTCGTACCCTACTGAGTATTCCCATATACTCACCCTTTTCCTACTCCTCACAGGTTAGATCGGGTCGTGTTGGAGCGTGGTGGTTCGAAGGTGTGGTTGCGTCTTGTTTCGCCAAATAAAGATCTAAGTTAGCACGTAATGTTTATTTATTTTTAGTTAATTGCAGTAAACATTTATTTATTTACGAATAAATTCTCGTTCATGTTAGTTGCAGATGAATATACGTAGTTTATGATTTTTAAATAGAAAGTAATGGATAATTTGTTTTTAAGTTCTTCCAAGTTTTTTTTTTTATTTTATAGATGGAACTAGAAATATTTTCGTGTTGGATGATTAATTATTTTTAATTAATCTTGAAATAAGGGTTTGGTAACGATTTTTGAAACTATTTAAAATTTAGGTTGTTACAAGTTTGGTATCAGAGCATAGGTTTAATTTCCTGTAGACTCACATAAATTCTCATAAATTTTTTTTAAAAGAAAATTTGGACGTGAACAGTGACGGGGTCACTGTTCATGGACGTGAATAGTATGGGGTCACTGTTCACGCACTGTTCATGTGAACAGTGCATTAAATGGCAAAAAAAAAAAAAAGAGAGGTAAGAAACGTGTATTATAATGCCACCACCTTTTTCATCATATGGTATCTTTAAGTTTTCAAAATTTCAAGATTGCCCTTATAATTTTGTGAATGCATGCAAATATGCATTATTTCTCCTTAAAAAAAAATGATGAACAGTAAGGTTACTGTTCTCGTGAATAGTATCGCGTACTGTTCATGGTGTTAGAGTTTGATCGAATTAATTGTACGTGAGATGCATGATTCTGCCAATATGTTATAATTCGTGCGGGGGCATATATATGTATCAATAAGCATGTGTGTGGATTATATAATATATACGTTGGAAACTACGCCCGTGTTTTAACTCCATAGTCCTGCCCACTTTTATAATTTTTAATGGTAAATTAATTGTTTAATGTTGGAGGTGACATACTATGTCAGAGCATTTAATTATTGCCAAAAATGTTGAAATTCAAAGGTCAAACCATCATTTTAACATTGAAAGGTGTGTGCAGGTTTACCTACATATACATTTAATACGCCTTGATGATTGTGTAGTTTTGTGTTTCAAAAAAAAAAAAAATTATATGTGAACAGTGACCGGACTGTTCACGTGAACAGTACTCGGTACTGTTCACTGTTCGCGTGAATAGTCTGTTACTGTTCACATGAACAGTGTAGAAAAAAAAATTGTGTGATGTTATATATATATATTGAATTTTCTTTTTTTGTTACATGTTATAAAAGGCTTATTTGCTTACTTGTTTTCCTATGTAATATTTGTTTAAGGTTAATATTTTTTTAATTTATTTATGAATTTAACGATAATATTAAATTAAAAGTTATGAAATATGTGAATGATCTTTGGCACTCAACGACCACCAATCGACCACCCTCCAACGACTCTAAGGTATGTAAAAAGGTTAAGAAGATAAATGTACTTAAAGCTTTTTGCGAGATTTAAATGATTTAAATTTCCTATCTTTAAATGTTAAGACATGCACGTTTATTTTTCCCACTAAATTATGATATATATTGTCATAGATAATTATAACTTATTAGACTTAGTACTAAGTGTGATTGGTGACTTCATATTAAATTTTAGGAAATGGCACCACCTACTCATACAAATTTGATGCGCGATTTACTACGAGCGATACAAGAGTTGAGCAGGCAAAATCAAGCACCTCCACCACAAAATGCACCGCCACAGCAGAATGCACCGCATTTTGCCCCTGGAGCTGTCTCAGTGGTTGAGCAGTTTCGTAGGTACAAGCCTTCCACTTTCGACGGTAATTCTGAACCACTGGTTGTCGAAGAGTGGATAAGAGGCCTGGAGGGCATATTTCGACACATTGCTTGTACGGATGCACAGAAAGTATTATGTGCAGAATTTATGTTGATTGGAGCTGCTGGTCACTGGTGGGAATCTGTTTCACGTACAAGGACGGAAGAGCAGCAACGTAATCTGACTTGGGAGCAGTTTAAAGATGAAGTGATGGAAAAATATTTCCCACAGGCTTTGAGAGATTTCAAGGAATCAAAATTTTTGCAGCTCAGACAAGGGAGTATGTCACTTACTGATTATGAAAGACAGTTTGAGCAGCTCTCAAGGTATGCCCCGCACTTGGTGGATACAGAAGTTAAGAAGATTAGGAGGTTCGAGAATGGACTGCGCCCTGAGATCGGCATGATCATTATGTCCCATCGTTTCACCTCATATCATGAAATGTTGGAGAGGGCTCATGCTATTTCATATCAGAGGACCTCATTTGAACAGTATGCCCAGCAGAACAAGGAGTCATTGGGACAAAGAAAGTGGAATAAGTGGAATGATCCAAAAAAGGACAGACGTAATTGGCAGAGTAAAAGGCCAAACACAGGAGTTCGTATTGGTGGAGCGAGCGGGAATATTACACCGTGTCCTAAGTGTAATAAACTCCACAGGGGTGAATGCTTACTCGGGAAGAACGTGTTTTCGATGTGGTAAGCCAAGGCACATTGCTCTCAACTGTACAGAGCCACCAAAAAGGAAGGATGATGATCAGGACAAGAACAAGAAAGGAAAGGCCCGAGTTTTCGCACTAAATCAGCATGAGGCGGAGCAGGATCCGAATGTGATAGCAGGTATTAAATTATTTAATATTTTAACACACTTGCTTATGTTCTTTTTTTACCTAGGACTACACATTTTTCCAAATCCGTCCCTTGGTTGTTAGTCTAACACTATAAATTATGCAAACAGGTATTCTGTTATTATCTGATGTACCCGCTTACGTACTTTTTGATTCTGGGGCTACCAATTCTTTTATCTCTACATCCTTCGTCGCTAGGTCAAACCTTGCATGTGTGAAAATGAATTATGAATTAGAGGTTAGCATCCCTTCAGGAAGAACTCTTTGTACAAATCTGATGACTAAGGCTATGAAGTTAGAGATTGATGGGAAAATATTACAAGCAGACTTATACCTTTTGGAGATGAAAGATTTCGATGTTATTTTGGGCATGGATTGGTTGGGACTTAATCATGCGACCATTCGATGTCATGAGAAAGAAGTATTGTTTCACAAACTGGGAGAGGAAGAGTTTCGTTTCTTGGGAGCAAAGTTCAAGTCTTTACCGCGCCTAATATCAGCTATGCAAGCAGAAAAGATGTTAAGGATTGGAGCGACACCAGTATCTAAGGCCCCGTACCAAATGGCACCGAAAGAACTACAAGAATTGAAGTTGCAATTAGAGGAGTTACTGGAGAAAGGTTTCATACGACCAAGTGTATCTCCTTGGGGAGCACCTGTACTTTTTGTCAAGAAGAAGGATGGGAGTATGAGGATGTGTATTGACTATCGGGAATTGAACCATCTGACCATCAAAAATAGGTACCCACTGCCAAGAATAGAAGATTTGTTTGACCAGTTAAGGGGTGCTGCAGTATTTTCAAAGATCGACTTGAGGTCAGGGTATCACCAGCTAAAAATCAGGGCAAGCGATATATCGAAAACTGCTTTCAGGACTCGTTATGGGCATTATGAATTTACTGTCATGCCTTTTGGTTTGACCAATGCTCCAGCTGTATTTATGGATCTCATGAATAGAGTATTCCATCAGCATTTAGATCAGTTCGTCATAGTGTTTATTGATGACATACTTGTGTACTCAAAAGACAAGAAGCAACATGAGGAACAACTTCGAATTGTACTTGAAACTTTGAGGAATGAGAAATTATATGCCAAATTCAAGAAGTGTGAATTTTGGCTTGACCGTGTAGGTTTTCTTGGTCACGTGGTTACCGCCCAAGGAATCGAAGTAGACCCCGCTAAAGTGGAATCAGTAACAAATTGGCCAAGGCCGAGTGGTGTGGGTGAAGTCCGCAGTTTCTTGGGATTGGCTGGTTATTATAGAAGATTCATTGAAGGCTTCTCAAAAATAGCAGGGCCAATGACTCAGTTGACAAGAAAGGGTGCAAAGTTTCAGTGGACAGAAAAATGTGAAAAATGTTTTCAAGAACTCAAGCAGAGGCTAGTCTCAGCTCCTGTATTGACGATACCTGAAGGTTCAGAGGGATTTGTGATTTACAGCGATGCCTCTAAGGAGGGTTTAGGCTGTGTACTGATGCAGCATGGAAAAGTGGTTGCTTATGCCTCGAGACAGTTGAAGCAGTATGAGCAAAACTATCCAACGCATGATTTGGAGCTTGTAGCAGTTGTTCACGCCTTAAAGATATGGCGTCATTATCTTTACGGTGGGAAGTGTGAAATTTATACGGACCACAAGAGTCTCAAATACTTTTTCACACAGAAGGAACTAAATATGAGACAGAGGAGATGGTTGGAGTTAGTGAAGGATTATGACTGCACAATTCATTACCATCCGGGTAAGGCTAATGTAGTTGCAGATGCCCTAAGCAGAAAGACAAGAACACAGTTAGCAGTTTTACCCACAGTACAGGAACACTTGATAAGGGAGTTTGATAAATTGAGATTGGAAGTTATCACGCCGCCAACTCAGATTTCAGCGAGAATAAAAGCATTCATGATTCAACCTACGCTTCGAGATCGAATCAAGGAGGCACAAGATAAAGATCCATTTTTACAGAAGATAAAGGCCGAGATTGGTACAGATAAACATATAGGGTTTGAAGTATCTGCAGATAATGTGCTAACTTTCAAAGGAAGACTGTGTGTACCTAAGGATGAAAGTATAAGAAATGAGATACTAGAAGAGGCTCATTCAACCCCTTATTCTGCTCATCCAGGTGGTACGAAAATGTACCGAGATCTCCGGGATGTATTTTGGTGGAGAAACATGAAGAGAGGAATTGGTCTGTTCGTGGAGAGAAGTATTATCTGTCAACAGGTTAAGGCAGAACATCAAAGGCCATCAGGATTACTGAAACCGCTGGATATTCCAGAATGGAAATGGGAACACATAACGATGGACTTTGTGGTAGGCCTCCCGAGATCAGCAAAAGGTCACAATGCTATCTGGGTAGTGGTGGATCGTCTAACGAAATCAGCCCATTTTCTTCCAATTAAAGTAAACTTTAACTTGGAACAGCTGGCACACTTATACATCAGGGAGATAGTCAGGTTGCATGGAGTCCCAGTCACCATTGTTTCAGATAGAGACCCGAGGTTCACATCTAAATTTTGGAAAAGTTTACAGACAGCCATGGGGACAAAACTGAAGTTTAGCACAGCTTATCATCCTCAGACGGATGGACAATCAGAAAGAACCATCCAAACTTTGGAAGATATGCTAAGGGCATGTGTTTTGGATCTTGGAGGTAGTTGGGAGACACACCTGCCGTTAGTGGAGTTTGCTTAAACAATAGTTTTCAGGCCACTATAGGAATGGCCCCGTATGAAGCTCTTTATGGTAGAAAGTGCAGATCCCCTATCCATTGGGATGAAGTCGGGGAAAACAGAATTTTGGGTCCAGAAATCATTGAGTGAACAGTTGAGGCGGTGGATAATATTAGGGCAAGAATAAAGACAGTGCAAGGTCAACAGAAAAGCTATGCTGACAATAGAAGAAAGGATTTAGAATTTCAAATAGGTGACAAAGTCTTTCTAAAGGTAGCACCAATGAAGGGTGTATTGAGATTTGGAAAGAAAGGGAAGTTGAGACCACGGTTCGTCGGACCTTTCGAAATTCTTAAAAGGATTGGTAGTTTGGCTTACAGACTTGCCTTGCCACCTGAACTAGCAGCAGTGCATAATGTGTTCCATGTTTCGATGCTCAGAAAATATGTTCATGATCCCAATCATGTGGTAAGTT